GATGGGTTACCGTTTAGGAATGCTAAGTGCTGTCAGCTTGGATGCGCGGGTGGTATAATGGTTCGAAAATTATTAATAGGAGAGCAAAGTTTCATTTCTCGTTGGATTCGTTATATCCACTTACACGCAAATACCCTTGGGAAAGGTATGAAACTACCTCTTCTCCCCGTAGCTATGGGTGAATTAGTTAGGCTCGTATCACTAAACGATTATTATCGCAAAAACATCTTTTGCAATCTAAAGAAATATTTTCTAAATGTAAATAACCTGCAAAGGGTTGATAAGCCATAAAAAAATGAATGAATCAATCAATTAATCAATCAGAATCAGATAAGAAAAATGTAGGAGGAGGCATCTTTAGGACTTAAAATTTAATTTAACTTTCCCCGCTTTCAACATAACCCGCTTCCATAATCATTTTTTTTTTTTTTGGTGGTGGGGAGGGTTGCCCTGCTTGTAATAAATAGAGTAAAGATAAAATAGTCAAAATTACTAATAATAATAATGCTACATTTAAACCATTGGGAACACTTAATATTATTAATTCAGCGTAAACACGGTGTAAACAAACAATATGACACAGTATCGTGTAAAGGAAATAATGACTAGATTTGAATGACATCTGCTGATTAATTCTCCTGCCCTGACACAGTTGTGCTGCAAGTTCAACTTTTATCAAAGGTTTATGCCTTACAAAATATAGAAAGATATTTAAAAAAGCCAAAAAAAAATTAAAAAATACATGACGATAGCATTTCGATACGAAAAACAACAAAACTATGATGAAAAGAAACAATAACCAAAAATTATTATTATTATTGTTGTTGTTATTATCATGTTATTATTATTATTATTATTAGTAGTAGTAGTAGTAGTAGAAATAATAATAATACTCCTACGCAAAAAAATCCCTATATTTATGTAGCGATCCAGTAAATCGAAAAGATTTTTTTTCTCTCTGAACGGAATATCTTTTTCTTTGCTTTTCTTTTCTTTTTAATAAATAGGTATTGTTTTAGAAATCTTATTCAGAAAAAAAAAAGAAAGATGAGGAACGCCGAACGACATTGTCGGAACGAGGCGGTCACGGAAACAATAGTGTCGTGAGTAAACGGCAAAGGTAATGTTTGGGAAAGGAGGAAGGTGCAAAAACGAATGATTAAATAAATAAAAGATGGCGCCCAGTGGAAATAATTTGTTGAATGTCATCTGTGAGAGAATCGACGCCACGCTTCCGGAATGAACTTTGAATTCCCTCCGAACATCAACATTTTGTTCGCTATACTCTGAAGCTATTCATTTGTGTCAGAGTCAGAAATAATTTTCTTTTCTTTCCTTCTTTGTCGTTGCCTCCATTAAGTTAGAATATGAAAATATACACAATGCAAGCAGAACTATATTATCCTTTAAAAAAGAAGACAAGTGACTTACATATATATATATATATATATATATATATATATATATATATATATATATATATATATATATATATATCAATCACGTTACCTTGGTTTCAATCTTTCGATATTTTCTGGCCTATATCGCCTGAGGATACCGAAAGTTTCAAACCAAGGTAGCGTCACTGGGTGATCAGCTTATTTTTTAAATTTAAAAGCTCTGCGTGTTAAATTTTATTTTCATCCTTGTTCCTTGAGCTCCATTTAATGCAACTGTTTCCGGGTCTAATTCAACTCAATATAACTCAATAACTGTTATATATATATATATATATATATATATATATATATATATATATATATATAGTAATTCATCGAGTCTAGGAGAAACCTCAACAGAAAGCACTGGACAGCCGTTTCGTCCTATATTTGGGACTCATCAGCGGTGCGCATCCAACGAGAATTGAAACCCGAACAGTTACGATACGAGCCAAAAGTCATACCAACGGAACTCGGTGACGAAAAGGTAACGAATTAGACTCGATATAGCGCTGCTCGATCACATATTCCAACGACATTATTTTTGCCCCAACCTAATATATATATATATATATATATATATATATATATATTGAACAATAAAAAAAATATTAAAAAATTAAAATCTTGAGACACACTGGGTTGTAGATTAATATTCTTTCGTTTTTTTTATTATTATTTCATTTAGGTTCCTCGACTAGTTTCGACCAAAATGGCCATCATCAGGAGAAGAAATATTTCTGCTTGCTGGTAGCAGTAAACTACAGAAATGAATGTCTTGCTGGAGAAAATGAATTGTGTCTGTAGTTTTCATTTGTTTTTTTAAATTTTTTATCTTTTTGACATGAATCTTTTAACAATCCTTATGTTGGTCAAACCGTCTCTTTTAAGTTGTTATTTGAGATAAGAGCTGGATAGATCCATGCTGCTCTGAATTCCCTGGTCAGTTTGACAGTTTTATTGGACCTGGTGAGGGGATGTGTCTCTGTTTAGTATTTGTGTGTGTGTTATTTGGTTCTTAGGGAGTGAGTGAGTATGATATGTGTAAGCGTGTGTATTGCTGTGGGTGTGTGTTATCATTTGGCTCCTTAGGGAGTGAGTGAGTATGATGTGTGCAAGTGTGTATATTCGTGTGGGTATGTGTATAAGTGTATAAGTGTGATGCCTCCACACCTCCGTAAGCATATATATATATATGTGTGTGTGTGTGTGTGTGTGTGTGTGTGTGTGACTTTCTCTCTTTCTCTGTTTTTCAAATCTCTCTCTCTCTCTTTTCTCTCTATTTCTCTCTTTCATTTACTCTCTCACATTTTAAATTATCCCATTTTCTTTATACGCGCGCACATGAATGTTTAAAAGAATGAGAAAAGGGGAGATGGCATAGAGAGAGAGAGATGCAGTGCCGTAATAACAGGAACTGTAGTCTAATTTTGAAGATCATTACTATGGGAGTTCGAACTACATTCAATCTATCACCTTTTTTTAGTCTTACGTAAAACTAAATTAAGATTATTTAATATATATATATATTAAATAATTTTAATTTATATATATATATATATATATATATATATATATATATATATAAAAAAACAAACACTTAAAATACCATTAGGTGATATTTATTTCATTGAGGTCGATAAAAATGGCCTCAAATCTTCAGCCCTATAAACCAAATGGAAATGGAAAAAATCACTCCAGGTTTAAAATTTAAAAACAGATTTACTTTATTTATACTGATCTCATATTGAGAGAGGGGAAAAGAAAGATGTAAATTTATGATCGTGTAAGAGGAGGAGAGAAAAGAGATGGTGTGTGTAGAGAGAGAGGAGTAAAAGAGTGAATAATTGAATTGATAGTAAGACCAACAGAGTTCGTCTCATTTGTATTAACTGATATTAGGACCTGTGGTGACCTATTTTAACATACGGATTGTGGACATAAATTGTTACATTTTTTCATTTTTTTTTCATTTACATTTAGTTTACTGGTCTGAAGAGTTGAGGTCATTTTTATCCACCTCAATGAAATAAATATCACCTAATGATATTTTAAGTGTTTGTTTTTCATTATATAATAATTATAGCTCTGTCTTAAAGCCCTCACTGGATATATATCCTCTTGGAAATTCTATGCGGATTACCAAGAATTTTTTATTATTATATATACATATATATATATATATATATATATATATATATATATATATATATATATATATATATGTGTGTGTGTGTGTGTGTGTGTGTGTATAGCTAATATTAGTGGTAAATATACACATACATACGCAAAATATATAAATATATATACATAGGTGCATACACATACATGTATATTTTTAAATAAAAATTCCAAAGAGAATAGAATCCAGGTAGAACTCAATGTCCAGGACAGAGTAAGGATATAATAAAAAGGCTTAAACACTAATATTCCATGGTCATAATTTACTCCATTGGAATCGTAAATCGTAATTTTTGAATTTGTAGGTCTGATGAATTGGATCGTATTTACGATTCCAGTGGAATAAATTATGACCATGGAATATTAGAGTTTAAGCCTTTTTATTATTATATATATATATATATATATATATATATATATATATATATATAAAATTTAAGAAAATTTAAGAAAAAAACGGAAGAAAAAGAAATAAAGACAGAGAAGGAACGGAAGGGAAGAAAGCAATAAAGAGGAAAAAAGAAAGAAAAATAAAAGAAAGATAACAAAAAAATAGAATAAAGAAAGAATCAGAACAATAAAAAATAGAAAAAAGCAAGAAAAAATCAAAGAAAAATTGAAAGAAAAATAATGAAAAAAGATAAAAGAATGAATGCGCGCCAGAATAAAAATAGAAAAACGGCAAAATAACGAAAGAAAAAGAGGAAGAAAAAGAAGAAAGTAAAAACAGTGTAAAAAATAGAAGAAAGAAAGAAAGAATGAATGAATGAAAAAAGAAAGAAGGAAAGAAATAAAGAAACAAGTAAAAAGAATGTAAAAACTAAAAAAGAAAGAAAGAAAGAAAGAAAGAACAAAATAAAAGAAAGAATGTAAAGCATTCACTATCATCGCCTTTTTGAAGATCTGCCTCGCCCCTAACAAGATACTACCTAAGTTGGCCAACTCGAATTTTCCACAGTTTAAACAGTTTTCGTTTGCAGACTGGCGAGCTAGCCGAGGTTTTAGAGACTAGGTTTTGGAATCAAATATTCTGCGCAGGCCCAAGACCAAAGTTCCCTGATTGAATTGACCATAGTTATTTTTGCGATATTTTGTGGATAATAATCTACTAACTCACAAACAGGCTATGGTAAGGTTCACCACAGAACCGCAGAATTGAGAAGGTTTAAACAGGTCACTGTAGCCATCAACATATCGTGATTTTCCAAGCGTAGCTTGGATGTGGCACAAGGCCGAAAGTAAGGGGTACCCAGTGAGGATCGAACTCATTACACATTCGTAATTGTTTTAGCGAGACAAGCTCTCTAACCATTACACCACCTCGAGGTGCCCTCAGCATATATAATTTATGATATCGTTTCTACAAGCATGAGGCTTAAGGGCCACATCACTTTGAAACACCGGTTCTAGTAGGATCATCGAAGTTAAGCGACGCCGTACCAGGTCAGTACCCAGATGGGTGACCGCGTGGGAATACCAGGTGCTGTAAGCTTGGGTGTGCGAGTGGTGTAATGGATAACGGTTCGGGATTGGAAATCCGTAAACCGAGTTCCAATTCGTTATATTTACTTATGCGTAAATACACTTGGGAAAGGTTTGAATCCGTCCCTTCTCCTCCATTTATGGGTTAATCAGTGAACAGACTGGGTCCTATAGCTCTAAGACCCGTCATGCCAAGCACATTGCAGCCAACCACCCACCATTCTAAGAGAAGTCAAGCCTAAGGAATTTAAACCATATTGGAGAGGGTTGGGCTCCGTCAGGCTGTCTTACCCAAGACCACTGCTGCTAGGGGTGGGGTACATGTGGTGCCTTTAAGAAGTCATAAATCTAGCTCTTTCCCCCAACTATGGGTTAAATTAGTAGAACTTGTATGATATTTTATTATTAACTCCAGAAATAATCTTACAATCTAAAAATATTTTCTGGCTTTCTTCTTTTATGTGTCATGTCCCTTCAGAATATAGGCGATCATGACCCTCCACATCTTCCTGTCTCTTGTAGCTTTTAACAAGTTTTGTCATTTTTGTTATTTCTCCCAAACACTGTTCTGCCATTCATTCCCTGAAGTCCATTAAGTATGTCACGCGTTGCTTTCCCCTGTCCTTCTTTCCCTCTATCCGCCTTGTGAGTATGAGATTTTCCAAGCCCTCCTTCCATGTCCCAGAAATTTCAGATGCCTCTTCTTGATGTTAAGTATAAGTTTCCTCTTTGTTTCTATTCTCTCCAAAACTTTGTCGTTGCTCAGATGTTCAACCCATGGTATCCTCAGCATACTTCTGTAGAACCCCCATTTCTGCTGCTTCAAGACTCTTCTTCATCTTCGTCCAGCATTTGCTGCCATACAGGTGGGCAGATATCACGTAACAGTTCAGTACTCTTTTCTTTGTTTCGAACGAAATTTTCTTGTCTCTTAATACTTTTCTTAACTTTTTGAAGGCATCGCAATACGTCTACGGATCTCAGTGTCGCACTTTCAGTCACCTGTTAGAACACTTTAACCTGAAAAGAAAAACAAAATCAATGAATGTACAAACATGAGTCGGTCGTCTGTTCTGAAAGAATCTTTATTTTTCTTATAACTGACCGTCTGTAGATGTTTCAACCAGCTTCGACCCGTGACTTGTACGCCTTTTGGCTCAACATAGACCTCAACTGGAACTCCCATATACGATCCATCTCTACAGATGCTGGCAAAACGATCGGCTCCCTATAACCTCTCCAGTAAATACCTGACTCCTCCCGTTACTATTACAAGAGCCAAATCAGGCCGAAAATGAATCACTGCTGCCAAACATGGGCGGGGGCTGCCCAGTTTTCACTTTCCAGTCTCGATAGAGTCGGAAAACGTCGCCGCATCCTTGTGAGTGAGGAGTTATGTTCCATTCTGCATCCCCTTTCCCCAGAGACGAAACATCGTAAGCCTATCGCTAACCTATCGCTATTTTCATGGAAAGTGTTCAGACGAATTACATTCCACCAGTTCTAATTTTCACGACTGAGACCCGTCCTGTCACGCACATTGTAGCTAACCATCCTAATTCCCTCCATCTTCCATTGGTGAGACCTAAGTTCCATTCGAGCAGCTTCTTCCCACAAACCTTCGTTCTGTGCAGCCGACTCCCAAGAGAAAGCTTCCCCGATTTTACCTTACAATTTTAACCGAATGTTAACGGTAGGAACCTCGACAAATTCGCTAAAAAATGAGCATAATATGATGCCCCTTCTATTGGACATGAGTAGAGGCTTACGCCTTGTTTCTTGTTTAGGAAGGGGTTCCCGGTACTCTCTCTCTCTCTCTCTCTCTCTCTCTCTCTCTCTCTCTCACTGGCCTCTGTATCTCCAGTTGCCTTGATCTATCCACCACCCTTCTCCTCATCCTCCTACCTGATCTTGCTGCAAAATTTCCGTAACCCCTTGCGTCCTAGTGGCTTTCCGCCTTGCTTGGGGTGAAACGCTTAAAAAAAATGAAAAAATACTCAAAAATCAATAAAAACAAAGTTTTATCATCAAAATCTTTACGTTATTATTGAGAGAAAAGAGCGAAGAATTTTTTGATTATTAAATTATATTTTTTGTTCTTTTTAGAAGGTTCAAAATTTTGGTTTTAAAATCTGTTATTTCTTGTGTGACCAAAGATTAGAACAGGAAATTTCTGTATCTTTTTTTTTTTTTTTTTTCAGTGAAAAACACATTGATTTTAAAAATCTTGCAAAAATCAAATAATTGTCAGAATTTAATGAAATTTTCAGGATTTATTCACATATAAATGAAATTATTTTAAAAATGTTTCTTTTTCAGAAAATCTTAGGAAAACTTTTTTACATCTTATATCACCTCCAACCCCACGTTATATAATTTTAGAAAATTTCAAGAAATTATTTTTTGTGACGCTTAATGTATATATTATATATACTCAGCACTCAGAATTTAAATCATTTTCTTTTGTAAAACTCGACTCCCAGTTACAGAAAATCTACTCTAAATCATAAAGTAAAAAATCCAATAAAACTATAACATTTTTAATTAGAAAAGCTTTTAATTATTAAATTTGTCGATAAATGTTGAAGTTTTACAAGATTTTTTTTTTATTCTTTAAACATTAATTAGTTTAATTTATACAATTTTAAATCTTTTAAATTTCTGTGTTAATTTTTACCGGTTAGATAATATTATTATTAAGTAAAAAATACATTTACTAATCTTATGGATAAGCTTAATACAATTCAGCGACCGCCTCCCCTCACCCAATATTTTAAAAAGAATTTTGAAATTTTTGTGTGTATGTATAAACGTGCCGATTTTTGTAAATACAAACGTCCATATACGATATTATCAAAGAATAAAAGCGATAACTCTAGTGAATTTAAAGCCAATATACCTAAAATTCAATAAAACACTAGATTAAGGAGAATATTTTCCTAATTTTAAAAGATTACTGGGTAGTTAAAAATTATATAAAAAAATGCTCAGTTTGCTTAAGTAATTTTTATAGACATGAAAAATATGAAAAAAATGTAAATAAACTTCTGGCTTTGAAACAAGCTGTTAACCTGCCAATACCTTAAATAAACACCTATATTCTGTGTTAAAAATGCCTTTCTATATTCTAAACTAAAAGTAATTAATATTTGTTTCAAATCAGTTATTACTCAGTTTCAGAAAATTATTTTATTTTTGGACGATTTTTTTTAAAAATAGAATTATACTAAGCTGACATAGGACTAAAATGGACCTAGAATTAAATATTTTTAGTAATTTAAAAAGAAATCTTTCCAGTCAATTTAAATTTGTTTTGAGATAAAGCAAATTTGCTTACTAGAAATATTAAATTTAATCTATTAGCTTGAAATTAAAATTAAAATAAAAGCCTCAAGAAAGATTTTTCATTTTAAAAAAGAAATCATTTTTCATTTTAAACCTTAGGTATCATGAATCTGTGAAGGCACCTAGTTAATCATTATCCTCCCTTCATATCCCCATAAAATGTACCTCTTACTCTGTAACCCTCTACTTCGAGTGGCTCTCGAGCTTTGTACAGGGTGAACATTATTGTGAAAAAATAACTTCCCCCGTTAAAAATCTTAAACACAGTATAGTTAGAGAAGATCGACGAGTAAAGAGAGACGCCATAAGCACCCAGAGGAAGAACCAAGGAACATATTTTTTAGATTAAATAAAGAAAGAAAAAATATATATATATATATATTTATCATATATTTACTTTGTTACTTTCATTCAACATCCAGCAGCAAGGCCTCTGATCAGGAGGCTTTTAGGAGCGTGAAACCACCTCTTAAATGCAGCTGTTCCCTGATCCACCCTGATCCGGGGTGGTAGCACCTGTTAGGGTCGCCTAAAAAGACACTATGAAAGTATAAAAATACATTTTTATAGTAAAATACCAGTAATCATAATTATTATAAAACCCAGGTTTTGTGTGTGTGTGTGCGTGTGTGTGTGTGTGTGTGTATGTGTGTGTACGTTTATATATTGGATCGGATTTCCTACATTTTTCAACCGATTTCAACAAAACTTCACAGGACTACGTAAAATTACCTTGTGGTGGTTGTAACAGAGCCAAAAATTGGAAAAACACAATTGTTTTTGCACGAAATCAATTTGAAAACACGATTAAGAGGCATCGCAAGAATGAAAGAGGGACAACTCATATCGAGTTATACTTATTATAAAATCCAGGTTGTGTGTGTGTTCGTTTATATATGGGATCGGATTTCCTAAATTTTTCAACCCATTTTTGCAGGTAGTGTTTGTTATTGTCTTGCACACTTTTTTCTTTATTTTTACATTCAGAATGCTTTAAAAATTCCATTTACAAGACAATTGTTTATAATAAAATTCTATTCAATCGGTAGACTCATAACGATTGAAAACAATGTTTTTGTTTGAGTTTGGGTTTGACCAATTCGTAATAAAAAAAAAAAAAATAATTAAGATATGTCCGTCAACCTTAAACAATAATCTTTGTCAATTTTATTTTTCAATCTTTATGATGGTCGATACTTGATCTATCTCTTACTGTTACATCCGCGGGCAACGCCGGGCGCCACTGCTAGTTTTTATATATAAAAGACCAACAACACATATTTATAGTAAAGTGACTAACAATACATTTTAAAGCAAAATGTCTAGTAATACATTTTATCTATAGTTGAAGACATACAATTTCGTTCAAAAGGTATTAGTTGAAACAATATAATTGTGTCCAAACTATTTAGATTTCGGCATTAAATAACCCACACAGATTGATATACAACTAAACAAAATCAACAAAACAACATATAGGAACTTTTTCACAACAATAATCTATATAATACCCGACAATTTCTTAAAGAAATGAAACTGTATTCCAAAATATAACTTCAACAAAACTACGACATAAAGCACACATACCACCGCCTCTAGTAATTATATCCATACAACATGTATATGCACAAAATCTGTGTATTATCTACCATGTATTCAATTG